CATATTTTATAATACTAGCAATTCAGGAAATTTCACATACTTGACCTTCACCTCTTTCTGATTCATGCATTGCTCCTACTGTGCTGATGGTCATATGCATTGAGGCAGTTGCCTCAAAAAATCGTTCTTTTGATTTGCCAATTTCAATTCAACCCATTGGAATTTAGCAGATATTACAAGGTCACTTTTGCTTTTCTTTACATTCAGTCTGTCTGAAGATGCCATAGCATCCTAAATGAGTGATAACATCTATGCTGCTGCATTTTGAGAACCAACCAAGAGAAGCTTCACTGATGATATTTGGGTGGTAGCATCTGGTGCAAAATTGTGTCTATGGTGACTGGAGTAAATCTGTACCTAGGCAGATGCTTTCACTAATTTCTTAATCAGATAACAGAACATTTGGAAGGTGACCCAGGAGATGCTACTTTTTTTTACTTTGGGGCCATAGCAGCTTCTTCTGCAAAATGACCATTTGCAAGTAGCATTTTCCTCTGTTCTTTGCTTTTCTTTTGACTGCATAGGATGTAGAGGTGTCGATCCTCTAAAAGTATAGAAAGTATAGTACAGGGACTTAAGTAAAAATGGCTGTAGTCCACATGGATGTTTCCAAATTCCCAAGTTTGCAAAAAAGCTGAAATATGACTCTGAGTTATGGCAAAATGAAGCAATACCAGAACTAGAACAGTTTCATGCAATTCATTCCAATTGTGTTCTGGTACTTTGACATTGTGCACAAGGGCATTATATGTATGCAATTTAGAAAAATAACATTTGATGAACAAGGTATTCTAGTCACAGAAACTTACATTGCACATACACCCAGAACAATTCATGAATAGTGAGCTTCTAATAGTTGCACATTAATTGTCCATTCTGTATACCAGAAATAGCAGGAAGAATAATAATAAGAATAATATGAAGGCTCACAGGGAATGATGAATACATCACAGGGATCTTGTTGACAGGTGAAGTAAAGTGAGCCAATGCCTTGCTCAGGATGTCCTTGAATCTATTGAAATCTGCAAAGAAAAATTACTTAAGTGCTGGAGTCCCTAAAATTTATAAAAGGATTTAAAAAATGATGCACTCACGTTTCTCATGAGACATATTTTTGGCAATGTTGACATCTGGGGTAATGGGATCTTGAAAGACAGACAAAAGTTTTAAATATTAGGCAATAAATTCATGAAAAATTGTGCTGCAACAAATAGACCATCCTACCCTGCAGGGTAAATATTGACCCAAAAATGTATACTTTCCCTGTCATACCCACACATTTTTTTTTTGTATGAGCTGTTAGACATTCCTCAAAAAAAATATACAATCTACTAGAAAGTGTTACCATGAAAAAGGATTCAATTCACAAACATATTGACAGTGATATACAACAAATCCTCTTTCACGAGGGTCATACTTTAATAATATTTGCAATTAAATATAAACATTAAATATGGTCCTGCAAATGAAAAACCCAGCAAAAAGGAAATGTTTTAAATATGCATGTTTTTGTACTTGCACCTCTTCACACTCTCCTGCATGTTAATATCAACTCTACTCTTTCCCAAGAGCATGAGCTCATTGCAAGTGGCTTCCAAAAAGCTAAATTTTTGTCCAAAATAAAGAGGTTCTGTAGTAGTTGTACTTCACTGAGGGCTACTTGTCAATTTTGTGTTAGGGACATTGGAGACATAGTTGACACCTCAGCTAGGGATTTCTCATAATCTATGTTGTGCCTTTTAAACTGAAATAAAGAAATCCCTAAAGTGAAATTGGCATGCCCAATTACCCCATAATGCAGGTTCTTGAGTAGCAAAATGGAAAAAGAGGACTCTTAGCCCTTTGGGATCCACTGTCAGACAGAGTTAGACAATCTCCATAGTGTTACAAATAAAATGGACCACAAAGGGTTAATGGCTGTAGCCATGCATACATCTATGGTTCTACGGATCTACAGTTTTCATTCCTAATTATTCTGATGTTTGAAAATCATAAAAGAAACAGAACAAAATATATATAAACTAAAAAAAACCTAAATTGCCTTTTCCCTTAGGAACAGGCAGATAATTGGGAATCATTTTCATCTCACCTTTCTTCTTTACTTCCTATTCTCATGCTAGCAAAATGTTTGCACTGAGGAGTGAAGCACTAAGGAGTAAAAACTCTTCTTTTGCAGATTAATCAAATGTTTTGAAGAGTGTGTTTACCTGGATAGATAAATATTTATCCATTATGTACAGAAAATGGTATAGACCTTGGAATTATGGATATCAAAACGATCTCAACAATTTCATGCACATTCTATTCATGCTTATGATCTGCCTTCATAATTCTACAATGACAGCTACTAGGTGATATTTACATGCCTCTGGTCTTATCATTAGAAGATGATGCTCACCTTCAATGCAGAGAAAAAAGAATTCACTCCAACCCTTCTCAACCTTTGTCATTTGTCCAGCCCTCCGCACAGATATGACATCTTTGACCATGTCAAATTCCTTCACATAGTAGTGAAGAAGCTTGATCCAGAGGATTCCAACACTATCTTGGTTTTGCCCTCTATATTTCCACATTTGATCCTACATGTGAAG